ACTCCTTTGAGCCACAGGTGCCACCTGAAACACATTCTTTTTAGTAAAGTATCACAAGAATTAAAAAGCAAGTATCCAATGGACTCAATACTAATGTGAAGCCAGTAGACAAACTAATACAGAGCCACATGAGAGAAAAACTCAATTCTATTCGAGTTGGGGGTGGGGGAAAGGAGGGAAAGAGGAATGGGAAGGGGAGTTGGTGTGCTCCCACCTAATGGGCACAATGTAAGGATGTATATGGCACACCTCTCGAGTGCAGGACACAGCTACGATAGGGACTTTACCTTACAAATGCAAGCATTGCAACCTAATTCTTTGTCCCCTCATACTAATCTGAAATAATAAGTAAATAAATAAAATAATAAAAATGCAGCTCTCTGGACTGCCCTAGACCTGCCCCAGCAGGCTGTTGGGGGCAAGGCCTGAGATTCTGCTTGGTCACCGGGACTAGTGAGCAGGACGGAGTCTGCACATCTTGGTGTGGACGCTGGACCCATGACTGTCGAACCCTTGACCACCCGGCTGGCATTGTGTCCTGCTGTCCTGCCCTTCCCTGCTGATGCCCCACACCCTGGCTTTGGCCATGGGAATTCCCCTTGCGTGTCACCTCACTGTCTACTCTGTGTCGTGCCTTTGTGCTGCTTCCTGCTCATTCCCCTACCTGTATCGTCCTCCCTTTCGTGTCCACCTGGCTGACATTTGCTTTTCTTTCTTTCTTTTTTTTTTTTTTGGCAGTTTTTGGCCGGGGCTGGGTTTGAACCCGCCACCTCCGGCATATGGGGCCCTTGCCCTACTCATTTGAGCCACAGGCACCGCCCAACATTTGCTTTTCTTTCCAAACACCACTCAGGTATCCACTACCCTCCAACACCTTTTCTGCCAGGATGAAGAGATATATTTCACTCATTCAACAAATATTTACAGGATCCTTTCTACATGCCAGGCACTGATCTGGGATTTGGTTGTGAACTCTGCAGAGGAAAATCCCTGCTGCATATAACTCACGTTACAGAGGGAGAGATAAGCAGATGGAATTGCTGGGTCATGTGGTAATTCTGTGTTCTACTTTGTGAGAAACTACCATGCTGTCTTCTGAAGTAGCTGTGCCACCTTACACTGCCACGGCAGTGTTCAGGGCTCTAATTTCTCTACATGCTCACCAACATTTCTCTCTTGTTTGGATAACAGCCATCTCAATAGGTGTGAAGTGGCATCTCACCGTGGTGTTGATTTGCATTTCCCTAATGCTTAGAGATGCTGAGCATCGTTTCATGAGCTTCTTGGTTGGCCCCCAAATTTTTGACCTAAGCAATTGGACGAAGGGGGTTCTCATGAAACAAGGTGGGGCATATTATGGGAAGAGCAGGTTCTAAAGGAAAAATCCACAATTAAGTGAGGATTTTTGTTTTTTGTTTTTGTTTTTTAAGATAGGGGCTTGCTCTGTTGCCCTGGGTAGAGTACAGTGGTGTCATCATAGATCATTGCAGCCTCAAACTCCTGGGCTTACACAATCCTCCTGCCTCAGCTTCTTGAGTAGATGGGATTATAGGTGCTCATCACTACACCCAGCTAACTTTTTTATTTAATTTAATTTTTTATTTGTTTTGTTTAGCAGACCTTGGCTGGGTTTGAACCAGCCACCCCTGGTGCACAGGGCCGGCCAGCGCTCTAACCATTGAGCTATGAGCACACAGCCACTTTTTTACTTTATATTTTCTTTTTTTTTCTTTTTTTTTGAGATGGAGCCTCAAGCTATCCCCTGGGTAGAGTGCCATGGCATCACACTCACAGCAACCTCCAACTCCTGGGCTCAAGCGAGTCTCCTGCCTCAGCCTCCCAAGTAGCTGGGACTACAGGCGCCCACCACAACGCCTGGCCATTTTTTGGTTGCAGCCATTATTGTTGTTTGGCGGGCCTGGGCTGGGGATTCAAACCCGCCACCTTAGGTGTATGTGGCTGGTGCCTTAGCCGCTTGAGCCATAGGCGCCGAGCCTACTTTATATTTTCTATAGAGACAGGGTCTCACTATGTTGCCCAGGCTGGTCTTGAACTCTTGGCCTCAAGCATTCTTCCTGCCTGGGCTTCCCAAAGTCTTGGGATTATAGACATGCACTGCTACTCCCAGCCCAGAATTTAATTTGAGATGAACATTAGATATCCAAGTGGAAAGATATTGGTGAAGAACAGGATACATGAGTCTGCTGTTCAGGTGGTAGGTCCTGCCTCATCATGTAAATTTCAGGATCATTAGAAAGTAAAGCATGCATAAAATCATAAGATTAAGAGAGATCTCCAGGGATCGCTTTCCCTTTGTAGAGAAGGGAAACAGTCTGAGACCCAAGCTCTGGGGGAGCTATTTGAAGGACAGGAGATGAAGAGAAACTAACTAACCAAGGAGAAGAGAAGGAGGCGCCAGTGGTTAGTAGGAGGGTGCTGTCTCTGGAAGCCAAGGGAAGACAGTGTTTCAAGGAGGAGGGGTGATTTTTTAGGTCTAATGCTGCTGCACAGTTGCAGAAATGAAGGCTGAGAATTGGTTATTGTTTTAGCAACATGAAGGTCACTAGGGACCTTGATGAGCCATTTGGGTGAATGAGTTGGAGTGAATTGGAGAGGATTCAAGAGAAAAGGGCTTGTGAGAAACTAGTACCAATGGGTATAAATAAGGCATTTGAGGTTATGTAAGGGTGCAGAAAAATGGGGCCAAAAGAAGGGTTTTTGTTAAATGATAAAAATGGCAGCGCTTTTCCATGTTGAGGGGAACGATCCATTCATGATGCAGCTGGAGGAAAGGCGGAGAGCCACTGAGCAGCTGGTCCTCCCAGGCCTCTCTGTGCCTCTGCAGGCTCCAGCAAAGGGCTTCCACTCCTCCCTACAGCCATCCCTCCTCATCTGCAGTTTCTCTTTTCCTGGTTTCAGTTACCTGCAGTCAACTGGGGCCTGCAAATATTGAATGGAACATTCCAGAAATAATCCTGTTTAAAGTTTTAAATCTTGTTTAAAGTTTGAAATCCTGTTTAAAGTTTTAAACTGTGCATTGTCCTGGCTAGCATGATGAAATCCTGCACCATCCTGCTCCATCCTACCCCGTCCCTGCTGGAGTCAGCCCCTTGTCCAGCGTATTCATGCTGTAGACGCTGCCCACCCATTACTTGGTGAGCAGCGTTCTGGCCACTAGATCGACTGTCATGGTGTCACAGAGCTTGTGTTCAAGTACCTTTTCTTTTACTTTATGATGGCTCCAAAGCATAAGAGTAGTGATGTTGCCATATAGTTATAGCTATTCTATTTTATTATTGGTTATTGTTGTTAATTTCTTATATTGCCCAGTTTATAAATTAAATTTTATCCTAGGTATGTGTGTATGTATAGGAAAAAACATAGTATATACAGGGTTTGGTACCATCCAAGGTTTCGGGCATCCACTGGGGGTCTTGAAACAGAGGTCCTGTGGATAAAGGGAGATTACTGTACATAATGATTGGCTCACTTTTCTGTCTTTTTGTGTATTAGTCAGATTTTCTTGCAATAATTTTGTGTAACAGATAGCTCCAAAATTTCAATGGCTACAGCAACGGTGATTTATTTCATGTTCAGACTGGCTGCAGCTCAGCTGCTCTCAACTGGGAGAGTCTGAGCCAGGTTCATTCCAGACACTGGGTTGGGGTCCAGCCTGCCCCATGGGTCTCTCTGGGCACAGGGCTACTGTGCACATACTTTTCTTGTGACAAATGGTGGAAGCACAAGCAAGCAGGCCAAAGCACAGAAACACATTTACAGCCTCTGCTCTCAGCAAGGCCACTCACACAACACTGGGCAAAGCAGGCCACACAGCCAAGCCCAACACCAATATAGAAGAATAGTAAATGCCATCCACAGACTAAGAAGAACCATGGCTGGAAAGGGGAGGGAAGAGAAAAAAAAGGAAAAAACAAAGTCTTATCTGTTCTACTTTTCTCCTGCCTGACTCCATTCCTGGCATGTGGTGAGTGCTGCACAAACACGGAGTGAAGCATATCCCCAGCTTTCTCCAAACCAGGTTGTGGTTCTGGTTCCTTTAACTTCCGACCCAGAAGGATTTGGGTTTGAATCCCAGCACCCTCACTCAATGACTTATGTCAATTATAGTAAAAACAATAACAGATGGCATTTCTTGACTGCCTAATGAGTGCCCGGAACACCATGATGGCTTTTAGGTTCATTACATCATCTCTGGTCCCACCGGCCCTCCCACGTACCGCGCCCCCAGCCCTAACCCTGCACCTCAACCCTCCCGCAGGTTATCTACGCCCTGAACACGCGCCAGGACGAGGCGGAGGCCAGCATGGAGGCCCTGCGGGACGCGCACCAGGAGGAGCTGCGGGCGGTGGCGCAGGCCCAGGCCCAGGCCGGGCTCCTGCAGGAACGGGGCGACTCCGAGGAGGAGGAGGCCCTTCTCCAGCGTATCCAGGCCCTGGAGAGCGCCCTGGAGCTGCAGAAGAGGCTGACCCAGGAGGCGCTGGCTGAGTCGGCGTCGTGCCGACTGGAGACCAAGGAGCGAGAGCTGCGGGTGGAAGCAGAGCACGCAGAGCGCGTGCTGACGCTCTCCAGGGAGATGCTGGAGCTCAAGGCCGACTATGAGAGGAGGCTCCAGCTCCTGGCGGGCCTCGAGGCCCCCCAGCGGGGCCAGCCTCCCCAGGAGAGCCCCGATGCCAAGGCGGAGCCGGGCCAGGGCCCCGAGCTGCAGGACGTCCTGCTGGAGGTGCAGCGGCTGCGCGCCGAGAACCAGCAGCTGAGCAGGGACTACGCCCGCAAGGCCCAGGAGCTGCAGGCCTCCTACGAGCGGGAGAACGAGGCCATCCGGCAGGCCATGCAGCAGTCGGTAAGCCAGGCCCTGTGGCAGTGGCAGGAGAAGGAATCCGACCTCCGCAAGAACTTCCAGGTCCAGGAGTCCGCCCTGCAGGCCCAGGTCCGCAAACTGGAAGGGGACCTGGAGCACAGAGGCCGCAAGATCAGTGACCTGAAGAAGTATGCGCAGAAGCTGAAGGACAGGATTCAGGTAAAGCAGCGTCTCCTGGGGCCTCCCCAGGGGGACAGTACTTAGCTGCTGACTGGGAACACCTACTACCAGTCAGGCACTATGCTAAGGGCTTGGCTTCTACCCAAGAGGGCTTTATTATCTCCACTGAGTTCAATACATCCATCCCTTTAGCAAATATTTATTGAAAACTTACTATGTGCCAGCCTGGGACCATGGGCAGGGGACACCTGGGGAGCTAGACTTGGTCCCTGACCTCAGAGAGCTTGGAGGCATCCAGTTGACAGATGAGAAGTGGGTGCTGAAATAGAGGGGCTTATGGTCTGGCCCAGTTGGGTCTGTGGCTGAGTAAGTTTTGAACTCAGATCAGCCTAATTCTAAAGCACCTGCTAGTGCCCTAATAACCTGCCTGTCCTCGAATCCTTAGGACCCTGTGTTCATAGACAGCAGGACCATGGATAAGTCTGTTGCATGAACCCCACAAAGCACAGAGCCCTGTCTCTAAAAGCAGCAGCAGCAGCTCGTCTTCCTATTATTCCCTGAGCATTGTTTCCCGTGCCAGACATGTCATGTCATTTCAGCCTCACTACAGAAAGGTTAAGTAACTTGTCTGGGTCCACACAGCCAAGAGAGGATGAGGAGGGATTTGATGCGCCTTAATCCACTGAATTCCACACCCCCGGGGGGCTTCTGCTGGGCACTTCCCCGCCTTTCAGATCTGTATACACAGGATGTCTCTAAGTAGAGCCGTGACCAAAGAAATGCAACCCTGCCTGTCTGTTCAGGACCTGGATGTGCAGCTGAGGGAAGCTCGACAGGAGAATTCAGACTTGAAAAGCACTGCAAAAAAACTGGGGGAGAAGCTGGCAGTTGCCAAAGACAGACTGATGCTGCAGGAACGTCATGGGACACAGAAAACTGGTGAGATGCCCTGGAATGATTTCCTTAAAGCCCAAGGGTTAGCTGCCAGGTTGGCCTGGCACCACCCGCAGCCTTGAGACTGCTGAGGGGTGGAGAGGAGAGGCAGGGGGTGGGGGTGGGGGGCTCGATTTGACCCACTTGGTGAGTTAGTCCAGTCCTAGCAGGGCACACACCTAGAGCTGGCCAAGGACAGACATCCAAAGATGTGGTGTGGTGTTCCCAGGTAGTTCTGACTAGGTCCACCATAGTGCCTAAAATTCTCAGCACTGACTCTCTCACCCCCAAAGCTTAGACAACACTTCGTGCTTTTGGCATCAGTTTGCACAATTACACTATTGGATCTTCCTAATAGTTTCGTGTGTCAGGTGTTATCAGTCTGCCATATTACAGATCAAGACACAAGGCTGAGAATAGGGAAGTGGCTGGCTCAAGGTCAGCCAACTGGTTGGTGGTAGAGCTGGTGCTTTATCTAAGAATATATGACTTCAAAAATGCCTTCCTCTGGGCTTCTTCAACAGAAAGTTCTTGAATGCCTACAGTGTGACCACTCTGACACTGGGAGACAACAAAGGCAAAAACTGGGCAGGGGCAGACACAGTGGCTTACACCTATAATCCTAGCACTCTGGGAGGCCGAGGCAAGTGGATTACCTGAGTAAGAGCAAGACTCTGTCTCTAAAATAGCCGGGCATTGTGGCAGGCTCGTGTAGTCCCAGCTACTTGGGAGGCTGAACCAAGAAAATAACTTAAGCCCAAGAATTTGAGGTTGCTGTGAGCTATAACACCAGGGTACTCTACTGAGGGCAACAAGCAAGACTCTGTCTCAAAAAAAAAATAATAATAATAATAAGGCAAAAACCATGGCCTGTGCCTTTAGGGAGCTTGTGGAACTGTTTTATGACAGCCCTGGAACCCTTCGGTATCACAGAGTGGCCCAGGCAGCAGGGAAATAATGTGTCTGGGAAAGAAGAAATCACCTTGGGCCAGAAGGGTGTAGGGGAGGAAAAGTTCAAGTTGGAACAAGAAGGGTGTTGTGTTTTAAAGCAGTGTTCTCAAAGTAGGGCATGAGTGCTTCAGAGAATATTGGGGGGGGGGCAGTTAGTAATTCTGGTTATGTCCCTTCAATTTTTTTAACCTGTAGAAAGAAAGTGCAATCAAAAAAATTTGGCAATTACTCATTGAGGAAGAGAAAGCAGCACAGTTATTTAAGCTCAGGGTACAACTTGAGCCAAGAGACAAGAGGATCATGTGAGGCCAGGATTTCAAGACCAGCCTGAGCAAGATAGACCCCCCTGTCTCTAAAAAGAAGGAAGGAAGGAAGGGAAGGAGGGAGGGAGGGAGGAAGGGAAGGAAAGGAAGGGAAGGGGAAGGGGAAGGGAAGCTAGATGACACGGAGGTGTGCACCTGTAGAGAGGCTAAGGCAGGAGAATCATTTGAGCCCAGGAGTTTGAGGATGCAGTGAGCTATGATGATGCTACTGCATTCTAGCCTGGGTGACAGAGTGAGATGCTGCCTCAGGAAAAGAGAGAGAGAGAGAGAGAGATAAGAATCACTTCCTTCATCATGCTTAAGGAACAGTAGACCAAGGAGTAGGAGTTACACAGGGGAGTGCTGGACAAAGAGGTTGACTAGCAGAATGGGGACCTAACAGTGGAAGGCCTTGGATACGAAGCCAAGGCCAAGGACATTCCAAATGACGTTCAAACTTATGCTTACAGATAATACGAAGACTGAGCTGCTTTCAGAAAATGAAGCCCCGGGGGAAGCAAATGACTTGGACTCCCTCAGTCTTCATCCCGATCAGGATCAAAGCTTTCCCAAGGAGTGTCCATGCACGAAAGGAGGCACAGACACACAGGTAGTGTTTGATCTAGCCCTGCATGAACTTGAGGTAGGGGTCATTCTCTAAACCTGATGGATCCATTTTGAATCCTTGAGTCCTATGGCGTCAGCAGTAGAGACCCAGCCCATTTCCTGCCAACCTCAGAGCATAGAAACTCAGAAAGAGAATGTGGCAGAATCTTCCCCATTCTTTATCAATGGCTCCTGAGAACCAGAAAACCATCTTAGTACACCATCACGTGTTTCTAGTCAAAACACACAGAAAGCTACTGTGGCATGATCTGGAATATTGGATCTGTGACAATAGACACACCATTCCACTTTCCAATGGTGGATAAAGAGAAAACTCTTACAGAAATCAAACATACGTCCTCGTAAAATTTATTGCACCTTGTAATACATGCTGTAAAATCAGCACATAAATGTTGTAAAAGTTGTAGGAAAGAGAAATGGTGATTCTCTTGCTCCTCACCCCTCCCAGATAGTTTTATAAGGTCTTTTTTCTCTTTTTACAGACCAAGAAAGGGGCAAGTGTTGAGACAGAGTATATGAAGCAGCAGTATGAAGAAGACCTGCGTAAAATCAAACATCAGACAGAGGAGGAGAAGGAGCATCTCAGAGACCAGCTGGTGAAGCGGCTGGAAGACTTGGTGAAGAAGCATTCCGTGGAGGTCGTATCGGTCCGCTCGTCCGTGGAGGCTGAACGCAAGAAGTTACAGAAGGTAAGATCCATCCCCACAGGGCCTGGCCTGGTTCTGTGTCCATTCTCTCGCCATCTTCCTTTCCTCTTTTATTTCTTCTTTTCTTCCTGAAACATTTTCTCAGCTCTTGCTGTGTATAAATCTAAGCTGGGTCTCTGAATACACACAGGTAAAAGACACAGATCCTGCCCAAAGAGAGTTCAGTGTCATTTGGAAGAGACAGGGGATACCCCTAAGAACATGACAGTAGGGCCTTGAGTTATGGACATGGGGTGGGATTGGGTCATGAGCTGGTAACTAAGGGAAATTCAACTCTACTTACTCAGCAGAATCACAGACAGAGGTACCATGAACCAAAAGCTCAGGCCTGGAAGGCTGCCTGGACCCAAGTCCCCACTCTGCCACCACACTGCAAGTTATTCAACCTGGGCCCCTGGCAGAGGGAAATTCTCCATGCCTCAGTTTCCCCATTTGTTAAACAGACGACGATAATCGTACCTCATAAAGTAGCAGTGAGGATTTAGTGAGGGGATCCGTGTAAAAAGCAAATCCCAGTGCGTAGGGCAGGTCGGCAATAGGTAGATGGAGGTGGTGAGTGAGTGGCATTCCAAGTGAGGGGAAAGTCTTTCTCTGTGTGCCATTCCAATGTCCCAGCACAGGGGGCAGCTTTTCTGCTGAGACGGCACACAAAGCCTCATCTCTCCTGGTTGCTGGGAAAAGTAAATAACATATGTGAAGATTCCCTGCTTACTCAGCAAAACACAGTTCTGTTAAATCAGTACCATTGTAAATCATAGCCACTGTGAACACAGGTGAAATACCTTACTCACTCCAAGGAAGCTTCTTTGTAATCCAGGAACCTGCAGTCACAGCTTCAAGTGTTCACTGAAAGATAATCCTGTCACTGGGGGCTGCAGTATGTGGTGGTTAAGAATACTAAGAACTCAAGAAATCCGACTGAGTAAATGAACTCGTGAAACACCCAGACTAGTCCTGAGTCTAAATCCTGACTCTTCTATAATCTGTGTGATCATGGGAAGGTCACATAACCTCTCTGCAGCCTGATTTCTAAAATACAGTTAAATACTTCAGGGCTTGCTATGTGTATTAAGTATGGTGTCACGGTTTATATAAATCCTTAGCTCAGTGCACAGGCTTGACATCATGGGTGATACCAGTGTAATTTAGCACCCGCTATACTTTGTAAAGCTCTTTATGCTCATGAACACATTTCATCTTACCAGCAATATTACAAATCAGTGTGCCTATCTCCATTTTAGAGGTGAGGAGATTGAGGCTCAGGGATGTAGGTATAAAGTCACAGCGAGTGAAGTAGCTGCAATTCCAGCCCAGCAGGCTGACCCCAGAGCCTGTGGCCCCCCTTGCTGGGAAGGCAGCTGCCGGGAAAGCGCCTTTCTATGAGCTGCGAGGGGCTGTACACATCTAATCCTCAGACTAACCGATGAGCACTCTCTCCATCCCGAGGTGGCTGGCTCTCCAGAGCTACAGGTTGCCCTGGTAACCAGTTGCCCAATCTGCCTCTGAGGGTGTAAACCTCACCTCAGCATTAGTGGGAGGCATGAATTGCTTTGAGGAATGAATCATATAGAAATCAATTATGTTTACTCCCTGGGTTTTGGTGGTGTTTTACTTTTTGCTTATTTCTAAAATCTGAGAAGATAAATCATATGAATTAAGTCATACAGATTAGAGGGAGAGGTCTTAAATAGAGGGTTCATGGACTAAAAATAGACACCATTTTCTCCTGTAGAGTTAGGAGCATGCTGTATCTTTGAGCCTTTGACTATGGGTGTGTTGTATATCCTGAATGCTACCCTAACCTAAACTACACACTAAGAGTTGGCCCAGGGCTGTCCCCGAAGGCTTCTGTGCCTTCCACGACCACAATTAGATGATATTATCACTCACTCTTGACAAACAGCACAGAATACACGTCCTATAGTTAGCACTTGCAGAAACTGATTCCAGGAAGGGGATGGAAATGATTCATGAGCACCTCCTGAGCTATGCTAGATACTTTTGCACTCTACCTTTTAATATATCATGGAGGATTCTTGGTGGCAAGAATCACAATCCCACTCTGGGAATTTAGGTAGAAAAGAAATTTAGTAAAAGAAAATAGAAGACCTGGGAACTGGTTGACAGCTACCCAGCCAGAAATAATGTGCTAGATTCACTGCAATACTGATTTGGAGACTGGGCATGGTGGCTGATGAGTATAGTCCTAGCACTTTGGGTGGCAGAGGTCAGAGGATCAATCGAGACCAGCCTGAGCAACCAGATGAGCAAGACCTCATCTCTACAAAAAAATAGAAAAATCATTCAGACATGGTGGCACGCACCTGTAGTCCCAACTACTCAGGAAGCTAAGGCAGGAAGATCACTTGAGCCCAGGAGTTTGAGGTTGCAGTGAAGTGGATAATACCACTGCACTCTAGCCTGGGCAACAGAGTCTCACAAAACAAAACAAAACTGATGAGGACACCTCTGCTGGCACCTCTGAGTCCAGACCTGGTCTTACACAGCTGACAGCACAAGCACGGGGCCCTGGACATTGCCTGGAGGACTGTGCTATCTAATATGGGACTTACTGAACATGGCGGGTTACTTACATTTAAATTCATTACAGTTAACTAAAATTTAAAATTCAGTTCCTCAGTGGCAATAGCCACACTGAAAGTGCTCTGTAGGAGGCTGGGCGTGATGGTTTGTGCCTGTGGAGTTCAGCACCAGCCTGAGCAAGAGCAACCATTTGGGCTTTGTACTGGTTGACTCTTTCAGTTTCACCATAAACTTTACTATAAGTACATTCCAAATAGCTTCTTTAAAAAGTTAACATGTTTTGGGCGGTGCCTGTGGCTCAAAGGAATAGGGCCCTGGCCCCATATGCCGGAGGTGGCAGGTTCAAACCCAGCCCCAGCCAAAAACTGCAAAATAAAAAAAGGTTAACATGTTTTCTCTTCAAACACCAGCTAAAATCTCTGCTCGGTAATTTTCTGTGGTTGCTCAGTAGCTGTTCCCTCGCAGTGCTGCCTGCGTGGGTCTTTTCCCAAATTACCTATAATTGTGGACAGCTTAGACAAAGAAAAATGGGTCTTAGTTCTGCTTTTCCTTCTTATCAATGCAGTGAGAACAGAGTTTATGAAAGGACTCTGAATTCTATAGATTAGTGCCCCATGGAACTCTTTCAGGTTTGAGATGAAGCATTTTATGTTAATATATTTGAAAACATTAGTCTCCTTTTTCCTCATGTTCTTGTCCTTGTAGTTGTTTGTCCTCTTCACCTGAGTTAGGAGAATGTTGAAGCTCCCTGCTGAAATCCTCAATGTCACTTTGGGCTGAGATGGAATGAGGATGCTTCCTTTTAACGTGTGTTCTCCCAGAGACCCAGAACTCTTTTTTTTCCCTAACATTAAACCATATTATACTGCACCTAAAATGCATCTTACTAGTGCCAGAAATTACTGCTGAAATCAATTACTTCCATCTGTGGGGGAATATTTTTCAAATTAGATTCATTTGTCAAGGCAACAGCTGAGACTATGATTGATTACTAATATCCTAGGAAGCTACGCTGTGTAAATTTAGAAATAGCCACTCCTTTATGCTAAAATCGTTACCACGGGAGATTTTCACTGTGCTGTGACACGAACACATCTTGGCAGTGTGAGCGTCTCTTCCGTTAAGCACGATCCCGTAATAGCTTCTATGGATAAGAAGCTAATTAATGAAGTCAAAAATTTTTGCTGAAGGGATGGGCGTGCTGCTGATTGCTTAAGGTGAGAAATGTTTGGAACCAAGAGATAATTTACATATTGTTTTCAGAAAATGCACTTTCTTGAATAATAAGCCCTGCCAAAGGGGATCATAGACTTGGTTTACAGAACTATCCACAGGCTAAATGTCAAGGTCATGTGATGCTTACAATCAGGTCATGCCATTCTTTTTCTCTCTTTCAAGTGACTATTTTTTAGCATTAAAGGATAATGCTCAGGGCCACCCCTGAACCACTGGCCTGGCCTGGATTTGGCCCCACAGAGAGCATAAAGTCACATTAGTCATTAGCAGGAACGTGTTTTGAGATATTCAAGATAGAAACCCAGGAGTCAAACGTAACTTCTCTCTTTCCACTGGCATTCAGCCAGCCATCAGATCTATTCCTTCTGCTTCTCCAGTGGCCCTGGTGTGTCTCCACTTCCCTCTGTCCTCAATCTACCATTTCTAGATGTGCCATGCGGTGCCTCT